AGCCCCTCATCACCAGCTCCACAGCCCTCACCCCTGCACCCCCTCCTATCCCCAAACTCCATCCCAGAGTCTGCACCCCCACCCCCTGTCCCAGCCCAGAGCCTGCACTCAGCACCCAAATTCCCTCCCAGAGCCTGCACCCCAGACCCCCTCCCCCACCCAAACTCCCTCCCAGAGCCTTAGGCAGGTGGGGGCGGAGTTGGGGGGGGGCAGGTTCTGGGCACTACCAAAATTTCTACAAACCTGCCACCCCTGAAAGAGGCAGAGCAGGGGTGGAGTGGTGGTGCAGCCCAGAGCAGTGGGGGGGGTTTAACAGAAGTAAATCTAACTAAGTGCGTGTTTTGTCCTTTGAGTGAGGTGCATTACTGAGTGTATATATTTTATTAAAACCGCTTGGAAATGACTTGTTGTAGGAGCAGCATTGATCTGTATGCTCTGTATAACGCTTAGCACTTTCCAGGAGGGAGGGGGGAGGAGGTGGAGAAGAAATGGGGTAGGGGCGGGGCCTCATGGAAGGGGTGGAGTGGGGGCGGGGCAGGGGCAGCGAGGGGGGGTGTCGGTGATGCGGCCCTCGGGCCAATGCACTAGTCCTCATGTGGCCCTCGTGGTCATTTGAGTTTGAGACTCCTGCCTTAGAGCTACTTATATCCACTCTACTGATCTCTAAAGGTGTGTAAATTGCCATAATTTGCAGGCTGAGGAGTCAAAAGAAAAGTGTATGCTAAGGTAGGTTGAGAGCTATTATATTAAGTTAAACCTTCCACCACTTTCTTTCAGCTACACAGGATGCAAGTTACACCAACTAAACTCCCTTAAATATTGATACATTAGATGAAAAGAAGTCTACTTGAGTATAAGGGGATCTAAGTTAATGGAAGGGGACCTAATTTACACATCACCTCTGAATTAGAACATCTGTCTTTACTGTCATGCAGGTGTCAACTATTAGAAACACAATATATCCATCATCACCACCTCCAAGTAATAATGTACTGCTTCCCACATTCTCATGTTACACATCTGGTCAGTTTAGTAAAGAATAGGTTTTAAATGCCTTTATAGTCTTCTTTCTTAGTAGTCATGCATAAGTCGTGGGCATAACCAATTCTTCATTTCCATGACAATCTCTGGGTATATTCAGAGTATGCCTGCTTCCATTGTGAGCAGCATCTGTGTCAGCTACCCTGTTAACCGACACACCAATTGAACCAGAACTAAAAGCATAAACTGCTACAGATTGAGCTAAAGCCCCCTAACTGGGGGCCGAAACAACTCAGATCTAGCACGCTACACATGCACATATACCCTTTACATCCCCCGGCTGAGGGGGGATATGATTGCTCTCTTTAAATATATCAGAGGGATAAATACCAGGGAGGGAGAGGAATTATTCCAGCTTAGTACTGATGTGGACACGAGAACGAATGGATATAAATCGGCAGTGGGGAAGTTTAGGCTTGAAATTAGACGAAGGTTTCTGACCGTCAGAGGGGTGAAATATTGGAACGGCCTTCCGAGGGAAACAGTGGGGGCGAGGGACCTGTCTGGTTTTAAGATTAAGTTAGATAAGTTTATGGAGGGAATGGTTTAATAGTAAAACATATTAGCAAAGGAATACCA